AGATCTGTTCTTTCTAACGTGTAGTTGGGTGAGTTTCTACCTACGTGTATAGTCGCCTAACCACCACTGTGATCCACAGATAGGGTGTTGCCACATCCTGGAAGAGYTCTCTAGATTTTTCAGAAATAAAATTGTTTATGTTAAAAAAAACCCTTGACCTGGAATAGGTGTTAATACCTTGTTTGTAAAGGAGGTTATCTAAAGGAAAAGGAGAGAGAAATAGGGAAAGAAAGAGAGGCCCAGTTCTATTGGAGTAGGTGGCAGATATCATCACGATCTGATGAGAACAGCATGGCATTTGCACTTACTACACTCAAGGGCCAAGAAACTACKACACATTGGTGGCAGTAAGCCCTCCTAGAGCCCAGATCTTTGTTCCCAGCCACCCTCCTCCATTGTAATTAACCAGGGCTYCCTGGAGGAGCTGTGACTGAAGGGTAGGAGCTGAGGAAAGGACAAGTCCATATTGTGCCCAAAAGCAGGAATGTGTTTGAAGAATGATGGAGGGTGGGGATCCCTGTCAAAAGGAACAAGAACCTGCTTGAACAGCCTTCTGTTTTATGCTGACAAACCCTTGACCTGGGATAGTTGATAGTGCTATCAAGTTTAGGACAGTTTTATTAAGAACAGCCCACCAGGGCGCGGTGGCACATGCCTATAGTCCCAGCAGCATGAGAGACTGAGTCAGGAGGATTCCGAGTTCAAAGCCAGCCTCAGCAATAGTGAGATGCCAAGCAACCCAGTGAAACCTGTCTCTAAATAAAATACAAAATAGGATTGGGGATGTGGCTCAGTGGGTGAGTGCCCCTAAATTTAATCCCTGTTCACCCTTCCCCCCMAAAAAAGTCATGGCAGTAAATTTTATAAAACTTTGAATAAAAAGAAATTCATGAGTCTATAGGGATGTTCTGGAAAGAGAAAGAGGAAGAAAAAAAATGGGATAAAAAGGAAATTTCTCCTTTACAAAAGGATACCAATTAATAAATGTAGATGGAATGATAAACTTAAAATCATAGTATTAAAATCCCCCTCCATTAGAATATACAGCCAGTGGTAATATTCACACCAAGAATCACTCTACAGATTGCTTATTTATTCAAATTAAGTGGTATAGTGGCCACTATCCTAACCAGGCATTCTTACCTATGGAACATCTTGACATGAAAGGTACCCTGATGTGACACTTTTGTTGTCTCCTTGCTGTAAATGTGTAGCCTGGCCCTGAATATGACACATGATGTAGAGACTTGGATGGGATCAGGTATGTGTGTATGGGGGGAGTGCATAAGATATTTAAATATGCCTGAATACTAGATTATGTTATTGTTACTTTTCTTGAACACGGTAAAGGAAAGATGGTGATGTAGAAGAATATGCTTGTTCTTAAGAGATGCCTGCCAAARTGCTTGGGTGAAGTATGCTAGGTGTGCCACCTTTCAGCTGATGGTGATGAGAAATAATCAGAAAATGTTATCAATTAAGAATAAAAGTTGTTTTCTTTGACACATTCCGTTCTGCTTTTTTCAGTGGTACTTAGAATACACATTCCTGGTGGTTGATTCAGTGATGAAACTATAGCTTCTCAAACTTGCCTATGTCACATAGAGATTATTGTTTTAAAAATTGCCCTGCAGTCCAGACTCAAGTAGGTGTTTATTTTGCAGTGAAAGGTTTTGTGCCAACTTTGGTTGCTCTTGKGGCTACTTGAAGCCAGGCACAGAGTACTCTCTGTGGTACTGAGTCTTGTTTTTGTTTTCATTCACTTTCATTAAAGAATTTCAATATTTTGCACCTTTGGTGATTCTCATAGGATCCAGTGCCTTTTAAACCTTTCTTTCTCTGATGGTACCAGAAGGGAATCTGTGTCTGGGTTTACTGTGAAATCCATTCATGTACATTTCCTCTCTTTTTGAGTACTTTTGATCTAAGTAGTGCCCTTTCCCCAGTTTGCAATTAAAATCAACACATCAGGAATACTTAACCTCTGACTTTTTTTTTTTTTTGGTACTAGGGATTGAACCCAGGGGTGTATAACCACTGAGCCATATCCCTAGCCTTTGCATAGGGCCTTGCTAAATTGCTGATGCTGGCCTTGAACTTTCGAATCTATCAGCCTCCCAAATAGCTGGGATTACAGGCAGGCACCATTGCACCCAGCTACCTCTTCTAATTTAACAAAATTCCTTTCAAAGAACRTTTTATTAAGTGTTTGTTGGCTCTGGGGAAAAGATGGTGGGTGAAAGGGGCACACCTCCTCTTGTCAAGTCATCTCAGCCTCAAGGGTGTGATGGGCAGGTTAGCATGGGGACTGTGTCAGTCTAGTGGCAGCACAGAAGGGAGCCATAAGAGGCCAAGGGATATGTGGGACCTGAGCCTGACTGGTCCTTCACCTGAGCCAACACAAAGGCTGGGCGGGAATCAGTGGGGCAAGGACCGMGCATGGAATCATGCCACAGCTTGTCGGACTGTTCTGTGTGGTTTGGTTCCTTCAAAACTGAGGATGTCTTCCAGGTTAAGGTCATCTGTCCCTGATTCCTACAGAGATCCTTTCAGAGCAAGGCCCTTCAGTACTCTTCTTGCCTGTAGGAAGAGCACAAGGCCTTGGCTGCTGCTCCCCCTGACCTTCACTCTGTCCCTCCCTGTGCCTTCCCCCTCAGTAAAATATCTGTGGCTCCTGGGTCTGTCATGCGGCTCTCGTTTTGTACCTCTCTCCTCTGCCTGGAATATTCATAGCCCCTTACAGATATGACAAAGTGCTTCTTGTTCTTTAAGGTCAGCTTAAGGGACTGTTCGCACAGAGCCCCGCAACAAGTGGCACCATATACGCTGCTGCCTTTTGTGTGGCCACAGTCAGCGTCTCCTTCACATAGCAGGAACCCCTCAAGGGCTCAGGTGGTTTTTTTCTGTTGTCGTATCTGCTTTTAATCATGCCTGTGTCAAGCAGATAACTAAGAAGCGATTATCATGTGACAAAATGACACATCCCTCTCTTACGGTTGGCAGGTTCAGCCTCACCTAGAGGTAATTGTTCAGAATGTGAATCTGATGCCCCCACCAGAGATTCTGAGTCGGGATCTGTGGGTCCGAGCCAAGAGCCCAGGATCAGCCAGCTTCACGCTGTCACTGTCAGCTTCCCTCTTTTCCTCCCTAAGTCAGYTGTTAACTGTGGTCCAGGGAAGCGCCCTGTGTGCATGCACTCTTAGAACTTCCTGAGGACATTGCAGTCAGGGTGCTGGTTTGTGCTGCCAGTTCTAGACCCACACTGTCTATAGGCTGTCACCAGCCTGTGCAGGTAGTGTGCCCACCTTCATGGTGGACGTGTGATGTCGACATGGCTAGCTCTTCCCACTCCTCTTGGGAACCTTTTTTTGTTTTCTATTCCTAGGGGAACCAGGGTCCCAGCCAGTGAGTGAGGTTCTGTGCAGCAGTGCACTTAGGGCTTTTTGTCCTGATTAAATCATAAAATGCTTATCTTAAAAGGTGCCAAAATCAGGTTCAGACTGAGCTTTGAGGAGTAGAATCCAGAGCCAGTCTCGACTTCTGGACTTCCAGGGAGTCACCAATGCCATCTGATGTCCATAGTCCTTAGGACAAGGTCTTTAAATGCAACTCATTATTCGTGTTATAGCACCCCTGGGGGACTTGCTTGAAACCTGAAACTATGGTAAAACAGATATTCTCTGGGCCATTGGAGATGACATGCTCACCTCTTTTATCCTTGTGGTATATTCCTGAAAATTTGTGTTTAAGRGATTTTTTTAAGTCAAATGATGTTTTCCCTTTGATATACATTCTCACTTTGGGTGGCCCTCACTTCCACTTCTGTAGCTCTGTGCTCCAGGCCCCTCCGGCAGGCAGTCACAACTGGATGTGTGTGGAGGGCGTGCCCGTGGGAGTGGCTGTCAGCAGTGCATCTGGTTTGTACTGCATGGCTCACCTYTGCCTTAAAGCTGGCATCCTGCCTACTCTCAATTGATTTTATTGCATGATTAAAATGTGACAAAAGAGTCTTGACCCTCATCTGGCTCAGACTGGAGTGTGCTGGGCTCTGGACTTTGAAAACAGCTGCTTTCCTTCCGCCAGAGCCACTTCCGTTTCTCAGGCCAGTTGCTGTCTCACTGGCCAGGCTGACCAAGTCATTTAAGGATTTGGGTGTCTGGCAGTTCCGGTGTCTCTGCAAACAGAAGGAACCAGTTTTACATTTTACCCCCTAAATAATGTGAAAAACAGTGATTAAGTTCTTGGTGCCAACCTAAATTATTCATAAAGTCCATATGAATTATCTAAAATACAATCAAATGACAACTTTGAGAATCTTTGCACTTAATTTGATGATGTGGTCAGAAATTTTAATGAAGACTCTTTTAGTTTTCTGGGCCCTTTAAAAATGTGTTAGAACACTTGTAAATTTTTTTTATGATTAAGCAGTAATGCCATTACTTTGTAACTTACAGCTTTTTTCTCCTTGACACATCACATCACTAATATGATTTTAAGACTTACTTTTTATGACTACGGTGGTTCTTGACTCACAAAATGGAATACCAGGGGAAGGTAGATTTTTTTTCCCCTAGTGATACTCTATAAACATTTGCAAGAGCAGTGGGAGGAGGGGAAATAGCAGATGTACGCTGATGTTTAACAGGCAGCCCACAAGCTCAGCAGGAAAGAGGGAAGCTCAAAGGCTGGATGGCCCCCACCCTTGAGGGGAAAGGTGGTGGTAGGGGCTGGTGTTGGGGTGCTGGCACCACCACAGGGGCCCCCCAGAGTCTCCCCTAAAGCTGCCTTGGTGCAGAACAGTAGGAGGGGAGGATGGAGAAGYCAGTGGCCCTGGCTGGGGGCCATAGGAGTTCTTTTCAGATGGGGGCTCTTTCTTTCAGGTGTGCCTGCGGTTACTCATGTGCTGTGTGTCTATGGAAAAGACTGTTAAGCTGTCAAATAGTGAAGTACCTCAGTAGTTCCCGATGCCGTGATCATGGTTTTGGTCTCGTTTCTTTTAGGTTACCCCTGTTTCAGGCCAGTGCTTTTGCATTTTTGGCCCCTGCTCGAGCCATCCTGTCTTTAGATAAATGGAAATGTAACACCACAGGTAATTGCAGTTATTTCCACATATGTCATTGGGGTCCTTTAATGCAGGTGATAAAAGGGAGGCCTGGACATACTGCCCTCAGCAGCGTTCACTCCTTCTGGAATTAGGTGCAGAACACACCAACCCCCAAACAGCTTAGAACGCTCCAGTCTGTGGACCGTGTCTCTCTCTCTCTTTCTATCCACTCGTTCATCCCTAACCCTAGAGCAAATAAGGACCAGGAATGACCTCATTTCTCTATGCTAATGAAATTGATAAGTATGGGACTGGAATAGAACAATATCTGCTATATTCCTGCCTGTCTCTTTCAGTGGATTTTATGACCCACCAGTAGTTACCGCTCTTGCTGCGTCAGCATCCCTTCTCTGAGACATCTTTGCTTTTTAAGGATCTGGCTACTGTGGTTTTCTGCAAATGACTTTCATTCCCCCTTCTTAGTGATTGCAAAGATCCTTAAGGTACCCGATAAGGACAGGAAAAGACAGGGAAGTTTGGGAAATCAGACTCAGACCTGTGGTACTCTCAAAATAGTTACATTTTGAGGTTCTAGGAGCCAAACTTTTCAGCCTTCATTTCCTTTGTTGCTCCTAGGAGTTACTTTGTGACCATTAGTTTGATTTAGGAACTGGAGAAGACCCTCTGTTTTATCTAGGGTTTTACAACCTCAGTCCAGCCACCTTGCCATCGGGCATTTCAGTTAGCTGCTTGCAAAGGTTGGTTTTCTGTGTGAAGCTGGTCTAGTAATGGGTAGCACCACTTCAGTCCGTTTTTGACACGTTGGGGAGCTCTCAGAAGACGAGTACATTGATTAAATTAGTGCTGGGGACTCCACTTTGCAGTGTGATAAGCCCTTCTGTTGTAGGTTGAATTCTAGGGATGGGTAATGTCACAAATATACTTAAAACAGGGAGAAAATTCCTCTTAAAGGGTAAAATGAGGATGTCCTGTGAAACATCGCCGTCACTACAAGGAAAACTTTGTCTTTGTTTTTGTTTTCAAGATGTTTCAGTTGCCAACGGGACAGCTGAGCTGTTGCACACGGAGCACATCTGGTACCCCCGGATCCGCGAGGTAAAGGACCCGCGCCACTGGCTTGCAGCTTCTCCGTGTTTCTTCTTCTCGGCTCCCGTGCTGGGTGTGCCCAAGAAAGCACCGTTGCTTTACAAGTCTTCCTTTTTCTCTTCAGTTACCGAGATGTTTATTCCTGTTGTTAAACTAAATTTACTCCATGGCTTCGTGCCACCAGACAGTGTTGTTCTTTCCTCCTGCAGACCCACAGACCTGCCCACGCACACCCTCTAGTAAGTTGAGGCTCACGGCTCACTTGGAGGAGCTGCCCAGGCTTGTCACAGGCAGCAGAATTGGCTGTGCTGCCCTCGGCATTTGCCTGTGTTTGTTGAAAGAAGTGAAGATATTTGTCTACTAAAGTGCGGTTGAACCGAGCGGTGTGTGGCAGACTCCAGACATGAARAGCAGCTGACAGTGTATACATATCTTCCCAGGCTCACAAGATCAGTAGAATTAGCCTGGATATGACCATTCTGCAGGATAGAGCCATTCCTCTAGAAGTTTTGTCGTGATATTGTCTTTTAAATGTTGTGTCACCCCCCCCTCCCAACCTCCCGTGGTACTAGGGATTGAACTCAGGGTCTTGAGCATGCTAGACAAGCATTTTACCACTGAGCTGTGGCCCCAGCCCTGGGTCTCGCTCTTTAAAGCCAGTGTGGTACTCTTCCTATAAGGCTGGTTTGGAAATGTCTTCTTAAACGAGAATCATACATTTTCTATATTTCATTTATCAGTGGAAAAGGCAAGCTGGCTTTGTGTTCAGTGCCCCTTTCTACAATTTTCTAACATTGCCGATGTCATACTCAAGTTTTCTAGACCTTAATACCTCCACTGAAGTTTTTTTGGTGGGTTCCCAAGGATTTATTTTAGCTATTGGGCCTACTATACATTATAATAACTTATGGCCTGGCAGAGTTGTCAGTTGTGGTTACAGGTGACATTCCAAGTATTGGACATCCAAGCTGCTCATTCTCATGTTGTATTTTCTCTTATTTCAGATCCAGGGGGCCATCATCATGTCCTCGTTGATAGAAGTGGTCATCGGATTCCTTGGCCTGCCTGGGGCTCTGCTGAGGTACATCGGGCCCCTGACCATCACGCCTACAGTGGCCCTCATTGGGCTCTCCGGTTTCCAGGCAGCAGGAGAGAGAGCAGGAAAGCACTGGGGCATCGCCATGCTGTGAGTGTTCTGAACGCACCCAAGTGGGGACAGGCAGACTCTCCCCCACTACTGCCACGAGAACCTTTGAGAGTATTTGGAACGTTTGCACAGACTTCAGAAAGCCGTAATAAAAAAAGAAAAAGAAAAAACCGAAGAAGAATGTTCTGACATTTTAAACTTTGATTCATGCTTGGGAATAGTTGAAGGGTTTTCTTAGAGTTTGGGAAGTGACATATAGTCGGTGTCACAAACGCAGATGTGGCAGTGATGTGGAGAGGGAGGGTCCAGAAGGCGTAAGCTTTGATGAGGGGTAACATGGAGGCACCACCAGCTCTCACCTTGTGAGTCGCACCAAGTCTCTTGTGCATGAGTTGAAATACTGAGAAGCCACATTTTTTAGAGCTCATCCTATCCATGTCAGAGATTTCACATAAACCTGTAGCTCAGACCTCTGAACTCCGGACTTCCAGAATCAGTGCCCAGCTTGCTGTCTCTGCTTGATATTTCACAAGACAACTCAAACTGATACGCTCCCCATTGCTTATGCCAGAAACCCTAGTGACGTCCTTGACTCTTCCCTTCCTCCATTCCCCACATACAGTGGGGTCGTACRCTTGACTCTATAGCAAACCCTGGGTCTGTTTTCCTCTCCAGGCCTTCACTGCTCTATGGCCCACCCTCAGCCACTGACTCCTCACTGTTCTCCAGCTTATCTCCTCTCCCTTCCTGACCATTCCCAGTCCTGTAACATGCTTATCCATTAGTGTCTTCCAGGCCTCTTCCTCTGTCCCCTCCTTTTGAAACTCCAGTTGGACACAGCTAGACTTCTGGAAGCTTTTAGGTCTTGTTCCAACATCTGAAACCTCACCTGCTGCCTCTTGGTGAGTCTGTTTGCATCTCTTGGCCTGGTGCTTGGGGGCCTTTCTCTGCGAGCTCCGACAGGCAGAGGTGGGAAATTTGAATTCCTTCTCAGATGTCTGCCTCCCCTCCACTCCTGCTCATCTCTTTCTAGAACTCCTAGGATGTTGGATCTCCTGGATTCTTCCACTTCTCTCTCCTTTTCTATCTTGTTGTTTTTCTCCTCTGTTTTCCTCAACTGTACCTGTTAATCCTTCGGTGGGATTTTTCATTTCTGCTCTTGTGATTTTTGGTTTCCAAGACCGTTTGTCCTTGGGATGTCACCTGAGAGCAGGTGTCAGCTATGGGCCAGTTCCATGGCACACCCAGCACCTGGTCCACCTTCTGTTACAAAGTAGGTGCTTGGTAAGCACCATATGAGTGAGTGTGGGAAGCCCTGGGAGTGGAGAAAGCCCACGTCCACCGTAACAGTCAAGAATGATCCTTAAGGAAGCTTTGCCCAAATAGTTGACAGCGAGTGTATTAAATCTTCAGGGAAGACAGAATTCCTGTTTATAGTATTCTAGAGCTTTGAGAAAGAAGGAAAATTTCCTGATTTTATTTTAATGGTGAAACCTAACTGAGCTAATAATACAGAAGAACCATTGGCTCTCATTTTTCCTTTCTAGGGTTATGTTAAGGAAAAAAACCCAGAGTTGACTGGTGGTTTTGGAGGATGTTCCAAGCAAAGAGTTCTGGGTTCATATATGTTCAGGTAGAATGCTAAAGTTCAGCATCTTTGTCTACTGTAAGGTTCCCTGGGATTTTTTAAGATGCAAATGTGTAAGACTCTTCCCAGAAAAGAGCCTGAGAATCCAGCACTGCCCATACTTAATTGAAAGAATAGCGCATTATGTATCATTTCAGGAATTCAAGAATGATTAAATATCAGACAATCTATTAAAACTTATCATGGGTCCATAGTGTATTTTATCAATAAGTTTTTATGACTAAAAAACCGTGACACACTAAAAAATATTTAGTGTAAGATGACATACTTGAAACTAGTGAGGAGTGGAAGAATTATGTAGGAAAAATTAGATAATTATGGAAAAAAAGATTCCTAGTTTATAGCAATTCATTTCAGTTGAATTAAATACTTAAATGGAGGAACTAGAAAAGGGCTGGGCTGTGGCTCAGTGGTAGAGCGCTTGCCTAGCACATGGGAGGCACTGGGTTTGATTTTCAGCACCACATGTTAATAAATGCGTATATATAAAAATATGAATATGGAAAAAAGTGCTAGGAAAAAATCTACATAAATATTTAATCCTAAAGTGAGAAATCTTTTTTAAAAGATACTGAAAAGATAAAATTTGATAGATTTCACCACAGCTGCATTTAAAAACCAATGAAACAGAGACTGTGGTTGTAGCTCAGTGGTAGAGCGCTTGCTTAGAATGTGTGAGGCACTGGGTTTGAGCCTCAGCACCACATAAAATAAGTAAAATAAAGGTATTGTATCCATCTACAACTAAAAAATATTAGAAAAAAACACTGAAGCAATCTAAAATGAATCTGAGAAGACAAATTCTCAAGAAAGGCTAATGTCCTTAATTCATAAAGTTTAAAAGACAGAGAATCCCAGTGGAGTAATGATTAAATGATACAATATGAGCAGCTGTAAAGCAAAAAGGAAATAAAAATAGCTAAATGACATGTAAGAAGGTTTATCTTTCCTAGTTATCAAAATGTGTGTTATCTACACCAACTTTGTTAGGAGTGAGAGTGGACCAAGTTGTGCAAGTGTGGGTTTGCTCCAACAGTCAGCATTTAGGGACATATCCCCAGGGTTGGTAAGGGTAGCTCATCTGTGACTGCCATTTCCAGCACAGTGCATATATCTTTAATAGGAACAGTATTCTTCCTAAGAACATTAATTTTTAAAAATTTGCTTTTCTTATGAAAAATTTCAAACTATTCAAAAGAAGAGAGATTAGTTTAATGGYCCATGTTCTGTCACCAAACACTCTGGAGCAGTCTTTTTTCACCTATACCCCACTGTTCCCTAGCCCCCTCCATTTCACTTGGTTCTATTCATTTGAAATTAAGTTATTAAACAGAGAAATCTAACATAAAGCAAGTCTTCCCACTCACCTATCTCTCAGAAACAACYCCTCATGATAACTTGTAATTCAATGTTTATTCTCCCATATTTTTTTGTTTTCATGCAGATCAATATAAACATGCACATGTATARTGTTGACATCAGATTATTTTGTAGTTTGTTCTTTGGGGGCTCACCTTTCCAAGATAGTGTTTTTAGGTGGGTCTGATTCATTCTAAAAGTACACTAATTAAGTATGAATGAGCTGTAATTTATGTGGCCATTCCCCAATTGATACTCATGCACGCTATTTAAGCCATTTGCTATTGTAAACATATGCTGAAATATGTATCCTTATGCATAAAGAATAATATTAAAATAAGTGATATTTTTTAAGTTGTTGAAATTGGCAAGCATTTAAAAGTATGATAAGACCCCATGTTGCAATAAGTAGCAAATGGACATTCTTGGTCTCTTTGGTGGGCTTACATCATTGTTCACATTGCTTCCGTTGTCATGTATACAGAAATTGCTAAACAAGATGCCCATTAAATGGAATGCTAAGCTAAGCAGCCATTCAGGCACTGATAGTTTACACCATATATTGAGGTCTAAAGGTGTTCTTGGCATTAGTAAGTGCTAAAATCTGGTTAGGAAGCAGCCTGTAAAGTATGCTCCCAGGTTGGGTTAGATAATGACCTCCTTGTGCCCCAAAGATGGTGGCAACCAATGGTCACCTATCTTTTTTGATCCCAGTGTCCAGCCTCCCATGAATATCCAGAGAATAAAATCCCTTTTGGATCGATGGGAGTGTTATGTGTTTTTTTTATCACCTAATGGATTATGAGTGAGCTTCAGAATTTTGTCTCTTTGCTTTTGCTTATCTGCCTTTAAATTTTCTCTACASTTTACTATGCATCACTTGCCTTATATTAAAGTAAAAGAAAGATTTTAAAAAAAAAGGCAACATGTAAATGTAAGGTGAAATTTAAAGGTAACATGTAAAGTACCCAGGGCAGTAGGTGTACCACAGCCTGAGGACTTGGGCTGAGACCTTTGTCCTTTTTCTTTGTGAGCATAGCATGCCCCCACTCTGAGCCTCTGTTCTTGTCTCCCTGTCAAGCAGATGCCTGYTCCCTACCCCATGCATTTGAGGATAAAAATAATATAGAAATAGATGGCTTTTGTAGTAGGAAGAAAATAAGTGTGTCTATCTGCCTAATCTGCTCACTTAYTTAGGGGCTGCAGTTGTAGCTCATTAGTAGAGCACTTGCCTAGCATGTATGAGGCCCTAGGTTTGATCCTCAGCACTACATTTAAATAAATAAATTAAATAAAGGTATTGTGTCCATCTACAACTAAAAAAAWTTTTTTTTAATTTGAGTTGACACATGGTGGGGCCTGGGATCTGGTTGTCTTTCCTAGATTGTCTGTGTTCCCCATCCCCTCTTAAATGTGCTTTGAAAAGTGAGCACTTTGCACAGGTGGGTGTCATCTGAAATAATAATAGCACCAAACTTGGTGTGTTTTTTGGATTTCATAGTATTAATTACTTTGAAACAAATAAGTAGCTTTTTTTTAAAAAAAATGAAAAATTTACAAACTTAAAATAATGTCAGTTTTAACATCTCTCATTGCTATATTGGTTTTTTGTTAGACTTCACTATCCCAGAGGAATTGAAATAACTTGGGCACCATGTTTCCACCTTGAGCTGGTATTGTCAGACACTTCTGAGGGCTCACCAGTTCACCCAAGTGTCTAGATAGGCTAGGAGGCCTGTGGAACACACACGTGTTCTCCAGCCAAGCTTTGGTCTGCATCTCAATAGGAATGTGACAAGGGAGCTGTGCTTGACTAGCTGTCAGTGGAGCTAATAATTCCATCTTGCCAATTGGAGCAGTGCCCAGGAATAATTAAGCTTAGCTTTGAGAACCCATGATTCCTGCCAACTCTACCTCAGGTTGTAAGTGAAAGCGTGAGTCCAAGTGGAGGATTAGGCACCTTCTTGGGTGATTAGGCACATCATTGCTTGCCTATATTATTTTGGTGATGATGTCTACCCAAGAGCATGAGAAGTGGTCCCACACTTGCCAGCCACATGGGGACATCAGACTGATGAGGAAGTGTCAGCTTCCTGTTGTAGGGAGGTCGCTACCTATCCCTGACTTCTGTGTAGCACTCAGCAAAGCTGGGTCAGGAATGTGAGGCTTAGGGATCAAGGACTTCTGCTGCCATCCTGGTCCTACACCCTGCAAACCTCACTGTGTGATCTTGGAACACTGGCGTTGTGTCTTTATAAAAAGAGCATCTGGAAACCACTCCAGAAATCTGAGATATGCATAGAAAAGCCTTAATGTAATGTCCAGCACACACAAACCTCTCAGAATATTATCACTGATTCTACCTAATGTATTTTCTTAAATATTGAAGTTTCACTTCTTGCTTTTTAAAAGTAATTTATACTTGTTGTGTATAAATCAGAAAATGCATAAAAGTAGGAAAAAGTAGTCACATATCATATTTTCCAAAGTCAGTCCCCTTGAGCATTTTGGATCACATCCTTCTCACCCRGTAGCGTGTATGTGCACATGCTCAATGTATTTTCTCAGTTTGCTTTTTAGTTAATTCCTAGTTGTAAATATATTGTTCGATGTGTAGTTTCTGGCATCTTTCCCTGATACACTGTGAGTTTTCCCCTCAGTATGTATATTCTTTGTGTTTTCATACTCTTCCTGGGAAAATTTAACCAAAGCTTTAATATTGCATTTTCATTTCTATATCAAAAAATGCTAGGTAAGTGAGCTGTGCGACATCTTCCCCCAGGTGATAGATATGATTTCCAAATTGTAGCAAAGAGGGTTAACAACTCTCTGGTTAAATGAGTTGAACACATAGTCAGTTTTTTAGGCTTTTTCAAGGATATAGCAACCTTAACCTCATTTATTTTCTTTCTTTCTTAGGACAATTTTCCTTGTATTACTATTTTCTCAATATGCCAGGAATGTTAAATTTCCTCTCCCGATTTACAAATCCAAGAAAGGGTGGACTGCATACAAGTTACAACTTTTCAAAATGTTCCCCGTGAGTAGTTGGCTTTTTTTTTTTTTTAAACCCKGACAGTTTTGCCTTTAGTTCGTGTGTAGATATTTAGATGAAGGAAAGTCTGTATTATAAGCAGGTCCTCCTGAGGGTGATCATTTCTGGGGATGACATTGGGGTACTTATGACCAGCCCAGTCATCTTGGCCTTGAAGTTTAGAAGCTGTGCAAGTTCCAGTTCCATCCTTTTAGTGGTGTCAAGAGGAGGACACTCACTGTCTTTGGGACTTAGATTTGACCCTGTGTGGCCTCCACAAGCATATTGCCATTCTTGACTAACAAGACTTCGGAAAGCAWAGTGAATTTACCTGCATAAAGGTGCTCTCAGTGCAGTTCCATTCAGGGAGTGTGTCTGTAAAATACTGATGGTGGTGGGTTCTGAGGTGTGGTGGTTTCACTGTAGGAAAGGTTGTGTGGTCGATAGTCACGAGCTCCATTATCCTGACAAAGCTTCTCCCCTTGACCACTTCAGATAATCCTGGCTATCCTCGTGTCCTGGCTTCTCTGCTTCATCTTCACGGTCACAGACGTCTTCCCTCCTGACAGCAACAAGTATGGCTTCTATGCACGCACAGATGCCAGACAGGGTGTGCTCCTGGTAGCCCCGTGGTTCAAGGTACCATACCCGTGTAAGTATCCAGGCGGCCAGAGGGGTCAGGAGCCCAGGAGTGCCTTCCTTTAAGGGGTGGGAAACAGGCAGAAGGCTCTACAACATGAAAAGCCTCTTTTGTCCCAGAGTGTCTCCTAAGAGTCTGGCTGTTCTGGTCATTAGAGGATTAGACTACAGAAAAGGAAGGCCTTGTCCCCAGAGGACAGTCATCAACACAGATCAACAGCTCCCTTCTCAGATTAGCTAGTTGGTTCTTTGGGCTCTACTAGGATGAAATCCTGGACAAGGGTTCTTGCCAAGCTTGAGTTTTGGCAGCCAGGATTTGAGGGCAGCTCTGAGAAAGGCAAGTACGGAGCTGCTTAGTACCAGCACTGCCAAAATGAAAAGACCAGAGAGCAAGACCTGGAGATTAGGGAGCAAACCGCCCAAKCGTGATGGAATTTAGATAATCGCTTAATGGGTGGACATAATCTTTTTAATTTAGTCACAGCTGCAGAGGTAAGTTGATAGTCACAACTGGCYGGAAGATGGATCTTAAGTTATAATTTGAGTGTTGGGTGACACTGTGGGACAGAGAATTTGATCTCTAGCTGAGGTATCACCTGGAGTCACATGTAGCATTTTCTAGACCCCAGCCCCTAAAACGACTCACATGAGCCAGTGGTTGTTAACACATTCCATTGTTCTGTTGTGAAGATTCTATATGCAGCATTGGGATTTTTTTTTTAGACTTGAAGCCTGAGCTTGCTCAGGTTGAGCCAATTCATTTCCCTGTCAAGCTATCTTATTTTCATATTGTATAATGACAAGGAAGAAAAACCAAGAATATCAAAAGATGTCTCCTTCAAGCATGTTGAATGATGACAGTTTGGATATTGTCCCCTTTGCTCTGGATACTTTCACAAAAACTTTTTAAAGTTTAGTCTTTCTAAAAGAACATTCTCATCAGATCATATGGGGTTTAAGTGTGTATCTGTCCTGTTTCAAAAAAAGAATGTGCATGGTTCATAAACATACCTGTGAGATTAAAAGTCACTTGGTGAGTCAGGAGGTGGCATAGGAGCACAGGTGGGAGGAAGCCTCCTTAGCACATGCAGGTGGTTCCCAAGGTGAGCGCCAGTAGGAGCACTGCGCAAGCTGTGTGTGAGATGCTGCCTCTCACTGGAACGACAGTCGTGAGGCGCACATAGGGCTCCTCTTCAGAGCAGTCCCTGGCTTTGAGAGCTGGTGAATTGCCCCAGCTCTCCAGGATGAAAAACCAGCTCCAGAGACCTCATCCTGTGTGCTCCCCAGTGATGGGGATCAATTCAAAGGCAGGTTTTCAAATATCAAGAGTAGCAGTTCTCAGTCTTTGGTATGCTAAGAATTACCTGGATTGACTGTTAACATTCAGGTTTCTGTTCTGAAAGTCAGCAATGCCAAGGTTTAGAAAAAAATGCTATAAAGTAACAGAACAAATTTAAAGTTCTAGTTAAAGGTAGAGATGAAATAACAGCTTTAAGATATACCTGTAATCCCAGTGATTTGGGAGGCTGAGGCAAGAGGATCRCAAGTTTGAGACCACCTCAGCAATTTAATGAGACTTAGTAACTTAGCAAGATTCTGTCTCAAAGTAGAAAATAAGAAGGGCTGGGGATGTGGCTGAGTGGTAAAATACCCCTGGGTTTAATCCCTGGTACAAAAAAAAAAAAAAAGATTTTAGAAATCATAATAAGGACAAAGGGTAAGAGGTTAAAAAAGTAAAGAGACTGAGRAAAAAAAACACTTTCTGAAAAATAATACAGACTGAATATCCCTTTTCCAAAGTGCTTAGGATCAGCCCAAGTATTTGGATTTTGAATATTTTTTAGATTTTGGAATATTTGCATATCCTAATAATACATACTGGGGATGAGACCCAAGTCTAAACATGAAGTTTCTTTTATGTTTTATAACCTTAAACAGAGCTTGAAAGGTGATTTTATATAATATTTTTAGTGCACTTTTTGTCATGATGATGCTCAAAAAATACCAGATTAGGAGCATTTTGGATTTTCAGATTAGGGATGCTCAATCTGTAAAAACAAAATAAGAATACCATCTCAAAATCAAGACACCAAAATGAACCACAGTACCGTAGCAGGTAACGTGGTAACAGCATAAAAGGTTATTTAGAAAACCCAAAATGTGACTTGGTAAAGAAGGCCCCGGAACCAGCCCTGAGAGTTGACAGCTAAGTAGGTTGCTGGTGAGGGGGAGCCTGTGCCTAGGACCTGCACCTTGTGCCTCTGACCCCGGATGCCTCTGCCTCCTGTGTTCCCGCAGGACCGCACAGCCCCATGTGGGAGCAGTTCTGTCCTCACACTTACTTTGTGTCGTTTTAATCTTCCCAAGTTTGAATCTGCTCCATGTCACCTGTGACACAAACCACACCCCTCTAGGTGGCTTGTGGAGTTCATGTGTGTCTCACAGGTCCCTATCTCCCAAGCACCAGCCCATTCCCGAAATTTGCCCCCCACCTTCCCCATTCCTCAAGGGCCACCTGCATTTTTACCACCTTCTCATTTCCTTCCCTGGATAGGGGCATTTCCTCATTTACTTGTACCTGGCTTGCCTTCATTTGAATTTGTTCTGGACCCCACCCCCGCCCCACCCCCTCCTGTCAGTGTCCTATATCCCAAGCTACTGGATTTGATTCTTGTTCGATAGACTGAATTTTACCCATCTTTCTTTTCCCACTGTGCCTTATCCTTATTGGGTACCTTATACCTAAGATCAGGATAGAAAGGCCAGCAACTTTATCAAAGGAATCTATTGGWACTAATAGTCAAAATGTATCTATACTTTCAAAGAAAAAAAAGATTTAATGAAGAATTAAATCAGATATTCCAAATGAAACTATTATAGGGCTTTGCTTTGCTTTCTAAAATAAAATTTATTTTTTATAATATGGTTTGTGGTCTACTTTAAAAAAAAAATGCCAGTAGCATAGGAGAGAAGGATTGACCATACCTTGTGGCACACTTTACTGTTAAATATGGATTTAGTTGGTGATTCTTACTGCTCTTTCATTTGATACCACCCTCTGGGAAAGATCTCCATTATTGTATACCATGCTCTCTACAGCAGTGCTATGAATCCCTCATACAAATTTCTACCCCTGCACATTGGGTGTGTTAAATAGTAATTTAGTAGACACTGAGTATGACTTTGAAGCAGGAGGAAAAGAATCTGCCTCCTAGCCAAGTGATTTTGTTTTTTTAAAATAAAGCCACAGAGGAGATCAGTCTTCACTGGGGCCCTCACTCAGTAACTTTCCCAGGCATCTGACATGTCCATCATTAAGATTTAAAAATACACTTTCCATGCAATTCAAAACCCGAGCAGATCCTGCATGGTCCCCTGAGGTCTCGGTAACTTTTGCTGTTCCTCTAGGAAAGTGCATGCACCTTTCACGGTTGTCTTCCTTCCTCAGTTCAGTGGGGGCTGCCCACCGTGTCTGCTGCTGGTGTCATTGGCATGCTTAGCGCCGTCGTCGCTAGCATTATCGAGTCCATTGGTGACTACTACGCCTGCGCCAGGCTCTCCTGTGCCCCACCGCCTCCCATCCACGCAATAAACAGGTGCGTCCTTGAGAAGACCTTGTTCTTCATCCAGGCTGTTGGTTTAGATACATGTGGAGGAGAAAGCAGGAGTTTCAGCATGRGGGCAGCCAGACAGCAGGACAATCTACTTATGGCTGTTTGTCTTTGGATTACTCACTGCCCCCATTTTCTGTCATTTTCCTCATCTGTAACCTTTCTACCTCCCAGTGACAATCAGACACTCTGGGAGACCACCATAAACCTGTAACTCACCAGAACAAATGCCAAGCATTGCCTTCATTGTTTGCTTGGTTTTGTGTCATTTTGATATGTCTACTTTGATTTTTTTGTTGTCTATTTTTCCCAACTATTCTTTTAGTTTTTCCATGTAAATTAAAATTTTAGACTCTTTTGAATAAAACAGCCTCTTCACAGTTTATAAGGTTATTTCTGAATTGCAAAAATTCTGTGCCAATACCCTACCCACCCATTTGATTGGCTGCCACAATCAGACAGAGGCATAAGAACACTTTTTTAAAAAAAATATTTTTTTTAGTTGTTGATAGAACTTTATTTTATTTATTTATATGTGGTGCTGAGAATCAAACCCAGTGCTTGACACATGCCAGACAAGTGCTCTACCACTGAACCGTAGCCCCAGCCCCAAGAACACTTTTTTCTTGCATCTGWATTGGAAATCTTAGCAGCAGATGGTAACTATTCCAGTTTTATTAGTTAGATGCATTCCAGCTGCTCTTAAGAGGAGGCGCTATGTGATCTATTCACAGTTACAGTTCATAGAAATAGTGAGGAAAGATCAGGGAGAGGTGAAATTTGCAGGATCTAGAGCTTTATGAAATCTGGGGTTATACCCTCCAGACAGTTCTGGAAGTTGGTGGGGAACTGACCCTACGGAGGCTGCAGAGAAAAGAGAATAGTCCAGATCAGGTCCCAGCCATCTGCTGCTTCTCCAAAGGGATTGTGTGGCCTCTCCAGGGGTTTTCATTCCTGGTTTTCCATCTTTCTTTAATGGAGTTGTTGCATTTGATGAAACCTGCTTGTGGATCGATTCTTTTAATAATTTCAGTGTTTACCAAATTTCAAAGTATTTTTTTTCTGAAGAAACTGGATTTTAATAGGAAAGAATCAGATTAGTAAGTTTTTACTTCAGTGGACAGGAAATGGCTTTATTGTCTGGCTAAAGTCTTTGTTTTYAATTGATTTCAAAACACCTGTGTCTAATGTGGGATTTTTTTTTTTAGAAAGGGCCTTCTTAGAATCCATGAGCTCAGGGATCCTGTTGGAATACCAGTTCTGTTTCAGCAAGTCTGGGTAGGGCCTGGGATTCTTCATTTTAACCCCTCCTTCCCAGGAGGTGCAGAAGCTGTAGGTCTGTGGACCACATGTATGGGTTGCAAACATTTGAGCCTGTTTTCAGTGTTTCCCCATTGAATGTTTCTCTTTCCCCGATTCCTTTACATTTTAGGGGGATTTTCGTGGAGGGTCTCTCCTGTGTTCTCGATGGCATATTTGGTACTGGGAATGGCTCTACTTCATCCAGTCCCAACATTGGAGTTTTGGGAATTACGAAGGTACACATATTTTTCTAATTAAATGATCGGGGCCACTAAGCGTTTATTCTTTTCACSGGTTGGTTTGACCTCTGCGAGTTCCAACAAGAAGGGTTTGGGATTCTGAGATCATCTTCCTCCCACATCTCCTCTTTTCCCTTTGATGAGTCTCTGGAATGCCTGTTTGTTTGGAGGCAGGCCARCTTTGGTAGGAGGAGCTTTGGTGGGAGACTCTCGGGTGCTGTCATTCATTCTCATGCAGTCTACAAATACGTATTGAGCAGGAACCTGTGCCTTACTGCTATTTTAGGTACTTGTGGGTACATCAGTCAATAGAAATGCGGGAGTTTGCATCCTAGCAAGACACCCATTAGTCAGCATAGCAAGTCAGTAAACAATAGTGTGTCAGCCAGGGAAGAGAAGAGGGGAGAACTCGGGGTAGGGGACCAAGAGGAAGGGTTAGTAAGTGTTAAATAGGGTGATCAACCCAGGCCTCACCAAGAGAATGACCCTGAACGYGCACCTCCAGGATGGAGGAAGGGAGCCTGCAGATAATCTGAGGAAGGACATTCCAGGAAAGGGTGTGGCCCGTGCAGAACAGTCTTYGGGAAGTGGAAGGTTAGCACCAAGGCCAATGGGGGAAGAATACAGAAATGAAGAACAGGTAACACAGGGCCTGTTGGTGTCCATAGACACTGGTGTAGAAGAGGGCACTTTAGAGAGAAACTTGATCTGATTTTGACTGCAGTGTAGAGGTTASACCATGGCAGGGTAGAAACAGGGGACCAGTTAGGGGCGTCAGTAGTTCTAAATGAGAGGTAATGCCACTCACCACAGAAAAATAAGTGCATTTTATGTTAAAGAAGTAATATCGTTTTCAAACTCCAGTGGCAGAATCCTCTTTYAAGTGAAATCTGATTTCGTGTCACAGTGAGTCATGAAGTTGAAGCAGAGCTTGAGTCCCAGTCCTACCCACTAGTTCTCCTCCCCACCGTACCCAACTCCACCCTAGCTAGACAACAGATTAGGAAACCTGGGACTGACCCACCCCAAAACTCCGTTTCCGAAAGAAGGATCCTGCTCCCAGGCCTTTCGACTTTATTGCTAGCAAATAAACTTTATATTCCGGTTGCCTTAGGCTAGAGTGCTGTTTGCCAGGATGTTGAGGAATACAGCTCAACTCACTGGCCCTTGAGTGTTCTGCAACTAGAGACTGTTAAAACTGGTTCCCCAAACCTAATGGCCTGCGTGAATCACAGGTCCCTTCACCTGAGAACTTGGGGGCAAGCCCAGAAGCCTTCGAGACCTGTTTGACCTCTGTGAAATTAGGCAGGAGTGAATTTCCAAAGAAATCTTCACCCTAGCTCCTTGTAAGATTCTATAATCAGATAAAAAGAAACCATATACTAAKTTCCACTAATCTTGATTACAAATCCAGGTGAGAAGGAGCTGTGCACACATGCAGGGTGCATGCTTGGCTTGTTAGTYGTTTTTCCCCCAAGTTGATAGGGCTGGGCCAGAGTTCAGCTTCAGGTGTACTGATGACCCCATCTGCTGCCCGTTGCTTTCAATGCATGGCATGGGAGAGGTGGCTGCCCAATGGGCACTTCCTWTAGGGTYATTCCTGAGGTCCTGTTGCTGGCTGTGGTGAGAAGCAGGTGTGGAGCCCAGGGAACTGAGGGAAGGGTCTAATGGCCACAGAGTGGGGCATAAGCCATGTTTCTCCTGAGTGTTTGCTGCCATGAACATGTAACTGGTCCCTAATAAGAAGACAGCGGTAAAATTGTTATAGATGGAGGGCGACTCTTGGAAGAATTAACAGTTTAACTAGCCACCTCCCTTTCTGGACCCTTTTAAAACACATTACATAACTTAGCCAAGGTCACTAAAGGAAGCAAGCAAAGTATTGTTCTACATCATTACCAATGACTTAGGGAATTATTATCTTTATTAAAATTTGAATGGTGCCAGCTTATTCTGAAAAGGCACTCTGCCAGCACTTTTCAGTGAACTAATTGATGTTGTCCTGAATCCCTTTGCACCCAGACATCCAGGCTACTTTCCCAGGCAAAGGCTGCGTCAAGTCAGAGTCACAGTGTCAGCTCTGGAATCCRATTTGTGTTACCCTGAATCTCAAGACTCAATTCCAGGAAAAAGGGTACAGTTGAGGTCATTTCCCATCTCTATTTGAGTGGGAAGGTGAGACTTGCAGCTCAGGAATATCTGTGTGTCAAGCCCCACAGCCTATGGGAAGATCCTCACCTGGGAGAAAGGAGGCTTGAGTTCTGTGCTATGACCTGCCCTTCATCCAGCTGGAGCCTTGGATAAGCCATTTCTCGGAGTAGAGTTCTGCTCTGTAGTCCTAGGGTTACGTGTCTTGATCTGTGTTGTCCGGTGGGGTAGTCAGGAGCCATATCTGGCTGTGTAAGTTTAAACAAGTCAAAATTAAACACTGATTCCCCCAGTCGCACTGACCACGTCTAGACTCCCGAYACCTTGTGGCTTAATGGCTACTGGACAGCACAGCTGAAGGATGTATCCACACTCAGTTCTACTGGACAGTACTGATCCAGACCATTGAACCAGACTCCTGTGGTATATAAAAGGATGGTCTGCAGCTTCCCCATAGGCTCTGCCTCCACTTCCTGGCAACTCTGTTATTGAATGTTATGTTCATTCAATTATTGCGTTCTCTATACATGGAATTGCTCACCTATCTTATTTAGAGTTGGGGTTACCTACCCTTGCTCTTCACTAAGTGCATTCCATGTCCGTCCTTCAGAGAGGCAGCACTACACGGTGGGGAGGCGCTTTGGACTCCAGCCATAGCTCCATTACTTAATCTCAATGTGACCATAGGCAAGTTTCATTACCTCTCTGGTCTCCACACCCTTGTTTCTGAAGGTGTTGGAATCAGTCACTGATGTAAAGCACTTAGCTCAGCCTTCTGGAGTGTAGCAGGTACACAGGAAGCTGTAGGTGCCCTCATTGGTGCTGTCTAGCCCTTGTTTTATTTCTAGGAACAGAGTAAACACTGTCTCTCTGGCTGTGGTATTCCTGGGAATTCACATATAGGCTAATCTCTCAGTTTGACAGTGAACTCTTACTCAGACCTCAAGATCRTCTCCAAAAACTCTCCCAAACTCAAATTTCTTCCCTACCACTGGACTGCCTCACAGTGGAACAGTGCAGTTATTTGATCRCAAGCATGTGACTTATTCATCTTGTATCCACCTCTAGTGCGTGCTAGTCACATCCTCAAAATGTTTTCTGAAAATTGCATCATTTTGATGATAAGGTCCTTATCATGTAATCAGAGCCAGGCATGAGTCATTTTGTTCATTCAGCAATTTGTGTGGTCTTTCCCACTGTTTACTTGCTCTTTTRGGAGTGGGGAGGGGATGAATTGGGGTGGAAGTAACTGGAAGCCAGTGTCAGCTGTCCAACAGAGAGCCATCTTTTCACTCTTTTAGTGAAAGTTTAGGCTTTGATGCTTATCTAGCTGCCTCTGGATCCTTGAGGCTGCCAGGAGCTGGGGACTAGCACCATCTTCCACCATCTGTGCCACTAGTCACACATGCCTAATGAGTACTTAAAAGTGTGGCCAGTGCAAAGGAAGAATTTAAAGTTGAGTTTCATTTTAATTGATCTATATTTCATTAACCACCTCACTCTAAGTCATATGTAAAGCCCTGTGGGCACTCCCCCAAATGTTTCCAAGACCTCTTATACCTAATTTACAACCTCAGAGTGTAGTCTCCAGGGAGGAGACAAAGAATAGGGGCCACCAGTACAAGATTCTTGAGTCAGATCCCAGCAAGATACAGCCTCTAGAAAGCAGAGGCCAGGGTTAATAGGAAATAAGCTCATAACACAACTAGCGGAGAGGGGGCTCACCAACAGGTACAGCTTTGTTGAGAAGAGTCTGAGAAGTGTGCTTTATTTCCTATGCCCCAGAGGATTTAAGCAAGGGGCTGACATCCCCAAATCAGTGTGTTAGATCACTCTGTTTCGGTGGGTGAAGTAAGGACCAGGCACCATTCAGCTATTTCAGGCATATTATGTCATTTAATCCTTTAAGCAAAATCATAGGGTGTAGCTGCATAGAGTAAGGATCCTAAGACCCAGAGAGGCTGACTTGCCCAGTCATACATAGGTGGAGTGGGCATACACAATAGCTGTTGGGCTCGAAAATTCTGTACTCTTGGCCCTGAACCGTACCATCTCTCACAGATAATAACAGAGGTAGTTCCAGAAATGCTGGAATTGTGGTTTGTCTGGCTCAGGGAGAGAGGTAGGGAAGATGGAATTGAGGATGCAGTGCTTCTGATTGAGTTGACTAGGTAAAAGGTGGTACAAGGAAACCCAGGAAAGAACCAGAATGTAGCATCTGAGACCCCAGAGGATCATCCCAGCCAATGACCATGTGGGAAGTCATTGGAGACCCAAGACCTGAGCAAGGGTGACCCTGTTCAGGGAATGGAGAAGCAAAGGTTGGTCCCCAATCCCTGGGGCCACCTGCCCACAGTCAAGATGAGAAGACTCAGCGGAGGGGGAAGGGAGAATAGAGGAAGGATTGGAGATGGGAAGCTCTACTTGGGGGTGTCCTTATAGTAATTATGTTTGGAGTTCAATCACTGCTAGCTGAAGGTTTAACAAATAATCTAGGTTCTGCCTTGCCGTAGTCTGGCTGGGCACWAAAWCACGAGCCACCACACACCTTGTAGATTCAAACAGCAATTCTTTATTCCCGAACTCACACTGGCACTCTACACACATTCTGGGGAAATTCACGTTCTCAGCATGTGCTGAATCCCAAATACTCTGGGAGCGGGCGTGCCTGAGGCAGCAGGATACACCCTATTCCCAGCAGGGTACATATTAAACCTGGAACCGCCCTAAACCCAAGGAGCGGGATACTCCCTATTCCCAGCAGGATACACCCTAAACCTGGATCCGCCCTAATCCAGTAGGATCCTCCTTAAACCCGGATCCACCCTGGTCCTTGAGCAGGGTCACCTTTCTCAAACATACATGCAATGTCACTGCAAATGTCCAAGGCAAGTCCATTTCCACGAGTCCTTCCTCTAAGCAACATGGGGTACGCTGGCAAGGAAATTGTCATACCTACTTGGCTAATGGCTCTCAGCACTGCCTGAGGGTTCGTCACATTTGCCTTGGGCCCTGGGAGGCTGGGCTGGAAATCATGCTGTTAGAGGATGGCTGGCGAGCCCTTGTCTGCCCTCTGATGTGTTCACAGGTTGGCAGCCGCCGAGTGATCCAGTATGGCGCAGCACTCATGCTTGGGCTGGGCATGATTGGCAAGTTCAGCGCGCTCTTCGCATCCCTCCCGGACCCTGTTCTCGGAGCCCTCTTCTGCACTCTCTTTGGTAAAATTCTACCTCCTTAATAGTGGGTGTCCTCCCAGGCGCCTTTCATCACATTTGTTAATTTTTAATAAGATCATGATGTTTTTGCCAACTCCCTTTATTAAAATTGAAGATAACAATAAATTTCTATTTTAAAATATAAAAGATTATGTCTTTCAAACGGGGGTTGTGGCTCAATGGTAGAGCACTTGCCTGACACGTGTGAGGCACTGGGTTTGATCCTCGGYACCACATAAAAATAAAGAAAATAAAGGTATTGTGCCCATCTACAACTAAAAATATATTTTTTTAAAAAATWAAAGACTACATCACTCTCTGAGTTGAATTTACATTAAAGGTAGAGCCAGCAATTAGAAAATTATGCTACAAAAATTAATTAAGWATAGTCTGTTTAGTTAGAATTTCTAATTGATTTAGTTCAAATATTGTTCCTGTGAATGAACCATTTAAAACTGATCATTTTTAAAGGGCGCTCTGRATTTAATGGGTGCACTATTTGGTTACAGTAATCAGGGACATGACCAGATAATTTGAGTGTGTTCCCAATTTAGTTGATGTGTTTGTGTAGAGAAGGAACCAGTTCCCATCTCCATCTCCTTCATCTAAGGCAAATTAGTGTGATGTAGATGTTTTGGACCAGAGACAGAGTGGTCCCATTCCACCCCCAGGACTCCTCCTCTTACCACCACTGTGCTGGTCTCCTGGTTTGTTYCTGATAGAGAAAGGACTGCCCTGAGTGACCCATCACCATGCTGCAGGTGAACTTAATGGAACCTGTGTCTGGTGTTTTCTCTCTAGGAATGATCACAGCCGTCGGCCTCTCTAACCTGCAGTTCATCGACTTAAATTCTTCCCGGAACTTATTTGTGCTTGGCTTCTCAATCTTCTTTGGGCTCGTCCTTCCGAGTTACCTCAGACAGAACCCTCTAGTCACAGGTAGGGAAAACAGGCCTTAAATCTCKGGGTGAGTGGGTGGCTGCATTCACAGCCGTTTTCCAGTAGGAAGAGGGCCTTGCGGCTTCAGTTGTGTTGCTGAACCTTCATCTTTGCATTTTCCTGAATCTCACTCACCCTGGGCCATTTCTTTGGAAGCCTGGGGCCTCTCACATAAGCCAACGTACACCTAACTGAAGGGAAGCTACGGTTTGTTTCTCTACCTGGACCCCCTAAGGGAGAATGCCTCTCTATAAAATCTTTTGATTTCTCAGACTAGTTCTGTATTAAGAGTTATAATTTCTTAGCCAGGTATAGTGGTGCATGCCATTTACTTGGGACACAGGGATAGGAGGATGTCAAGTTCAATGCCTAGCTGGGCAACTTAGGGAGACCCTGTCTTAAAATAAAAATTTAAAAATGGGCTGGGGCTCAGTGGTAGAGAACCCTTGGGTTCTATCTCCGGCACTGCAAAAAAGAAAAAAGGTGCGTAATTTCTTAAAACTCAACTTGATAGACTTTGAGATACATGTTTTCCTACTGGGATTGTGGCTATTTTCAATTTAAAATTAACCTTTGTAACTTCTATTTTTAATATCCTGATATCATGAAGAACGAACAAGGGAAAAACCATCTTAAGAAGTAGCTATTGCTACTGATATTTTAGCAAACTCACAGTTGAGAACCATTCTTTGTATGTTTTTAGGTGAAATTCCCATRTAAAATTAACCAATTTAAAATGGCATTTAATACATCCACAATGTTATGTGCAACCGCTACCTCTATCCAGTTTTCTAAAACTTGTCATCATGTCACAGTAAAACTCCATATTCCTTAAGCTGTTAACCTCCTCTCCCAGTTCCTGGCTCCACCAATCTGGCTTTTTCTGTCTCTGGGTTTACCCATTCTGTATATTTCATATAAATGGAATTGTACAATATATGACCTATTGTGTCTGTCTTTCAYTTAGCATAATAGTTATTTCATTTTTTATGACTAACATGTATATGCCATAATTTGTTTATCCACTCACCCCTTAATGAGCATTTGTTTCCATGTTTTAGCTCTTGTGACCAGTGGTACACATGTATAAACACTTCTCATGTATGACTATTATTATGTTCTATATAATTGCATCAAACAGAATTARCAAACACTGAACCACTGCTTCTGGGGGAATGTGGCCAGTAGTACTGTAACTCATGTCTGAGTGAATCTTACCTGATACTCACCCAGACTTCTTGTACTGAGAAACACTGGACAGCACTTCAGCACAACACTTGGTGATCATTTTAAATCACAAAATCACCAAGGAAAAGCACAAAGTGTGATAAACATGGCTTTATAGAGACTACAGAAAGGAGATTTATTTAGAGGAGAATTGAAAAGTAGGGGTCACCTTGTTTGACTTCAGGTAGGAATATGTGTGTTGGGAACTCAGATTTTCCACTGTTGTGCATGCTCATGAGATGGCATGAGCACCAAGAGTGTTCATTTTGAGTTTACGGGTAAGTCTTAGTGCAATTCACAAACACAAAAACTGCAAATGATGAACATAGACTATATTTGTTAGGGTACCTGTTTTGAGTTCTTCTGGGTAGATATCCAAGARTTGAATTGCTGAGTCATATGGTAATTCTATATTTAACTTTTTGAGGAACTGCTGAACTGTTTTCCATGGTGACTGCACCATTTTACAATCCCATCAGCTATGTGTACACAGAATTCCTTTGTTCACATGCTCATCAACATTTATTTTCTGTTGAGGATCATCATGTTTTAAGTGTAGAAAGTGTAGAACTTCCTAATAACAAGGATATCCTTGCTGTGTTTTACATTTTAATCTGTCACATTTCATGGGAGGATGTCTTTATTTTAAAAATCTATGGACAATTAGCAAGACCCTAAGCAACCCAAGGAGACCCTGTCTCTAAATAAAATATAAAAGGCTGGGGATGTGGCTCAGTGGTTAAGTGCCCCTGAGTTCAATCTCTGGTACCCCCCCCCAAAAAAAAACTATAAACAATGCTTTTATAGTGGCTTCATAGTTTGTTATAGGGTCAATGTCACTCTATTACGTTCATCTCCTATGCTCTACTGTTAGGACTTTTCCTTATGGAGGTATCGTTGGATTATTGTTGAAGTATTCATATTAGTTTAAAACATTAGTGGCAAAACTTTATTGATGTACAACTGGGAAATGTACACTTTCATATGCTGTAGACCTGACTGGCAGAGTCGTGCCCACCCACTACCCTTTCCTGAGTCAAGGGCAGGCTTGCAGTGATGACCTCATGATGGTTTCTTTCTTCTTCTAGGCATAACAGGAATTGATCAAGTGTTGAATGTCCTTCTTACAACGGCTATGTTTGTTGGAGGCTGTGTGGCCTTTATTTTGGACAACACCATCCCAGGTATGTGGTGTATATCGATCATGCTTACTACATGTGTGAGGGCTTTTTGTTGTTGTTGTTGTTGTTGTTTTGTTTTTTGCCAAATGAAAACAAGAAGCAGAAGCTGGTTGTGGTGGCATGCACCTGTAGTCCCAAGCTACTTGGGAGGCTGAGGCAGGAGGAATTGCTTGAGCCTTGGAGTTTGAGGCCATCCTGGACAACGTAGTAAGACCCTGTTTCCAACATAAATAAAAAAGAATCAAGAAAAGTAAAACAGATCAAAAGCCATCATTTATTAGAATTGTCATCTACCTAGGCATGGTGAAACATGCCTATAATCATAACAACTCGGGAGACTGAGGCAGGAGGATCAAAAGTTCAAAGCCAGCCTCAGCATTTAGCAAGGCACACCCCTGGATTCAATCCCTGGTACCAAAAARTTTAAAAAAGCAAAAAACTGCCTTCTAAAGCAGTTGAGATGATATGTGAATCTATTTTTGTTAATAAGTTGATTGACTTTGGGTCTCTCCACTGTGGCTTCCATGGACTCACAGACTCATTGGTACACTCTTGAGTTGCTGGTTACAGCCTGTGATACCTCTTCCCCGGTCCCTGTTCTTTAAATGAATTATTCCTAAGGCGAACTTTCAGCCCACTACCGAAGGATGGTAGGCAAGGGCTGAGATCCGCAAGGCCAGGTCAGTGATGAGACATAAGAAAACAGCTGTCCCTGCAGCATAGGAGCCCTCATGGGTAAGTGGTCCTTCAGGAGAACTAGGCAATAGACTTGCTGGGATGTGGTCCYACCTGGAGCCTTCTCAGTGTCCTAGAGATGGCTTCTACATGCTGCCTTCAAGGAAGAATGATGTAATGCTGCCTGATGTTCTACCGAGGGAACCCCCAAGCAGTCTCTTGATTGAAGCATTTTGGAGAAGGATTGTTTTAAGGGGGGAAATTGCAAAGTCTTTAAGCCCAATACAAGGCTGGTGTACCCCACTCCATACCATACCTAAAATAGAGCAAAGCAGTATAAAATTTAGGTGYGTATAGTACTGACACTGAGGCCAAGGAAAGGTGTAATGTGGCTTGGGCCAGACTTTAGCCATCAACATCAACAATGTGGGTCATGCAGCAGGTCAGGGACACATAAAGACATCAGGAGGTCACTTAAATGTGGTGCAAGAGGGATAAGGAGGGGCTGGTGGTTCTTAGGCTTCGAGTCTGGGCACCTGGAGAACTGAGTACATTCAACTTCTCTGCTGTCATCCAGGCAGGTTTGATCTCTAGCACGGTGTTTGTGCGCATGCGCGCACACATGTGTAAATAAAATCTTGAGTCTCATTCCTGACAGAAGAGTTMAAACTAAGCATTCCTTTGTTTTATCTGTTGTGTGCATGTGTGTGTGACAGGTACCCCAGAGGAAAGAGGAATCAGGAAATGGAAGAAGGGTGTGAGCAAAGGGAACAAGTCACTCGATGGCATGGAATCCTACAATTTGCCATTTGGCATGAACATTATTAAAAAATACAGATGCTTCAGCTACCTACCCATCAGCCCAACCTTTGCAGGTTACACGTGGAAAGGCTTCGGGAAGAATGAAAATAGCCGGAGTTCAGACGAAGACTCACAGGCCACAGTATAGCCCTAGCTGTGCCCTGTGGCTTGGCCGCAGTGAGGCAGTATCTGTAGTTCCTTACTGAGAAACAAGAAGTAAAGTATATGTTTGTATATCTACATTTACATCCTGCACCCCAGAGCTGAGACAGGTTGCACATTGCTTTTCTGTTGTGGGTAGTGATTTGTGTCTAATATGGTGTCTCACCTATGTCCTTATTTAAGCCCTTGACCTCTTGCCCCTTRAGAGTGTCCATTGCTGGCCATGGTCACTGAACTTGAAATTCCAGTTCTCCTGTGGGAATAGATGTGTGAAATCTGCAGCCGTTCCTCTTCCTTCCTCGCAGTCCTCTCCAGTCCCTGTTGCTGGCTTTTCTACAGGCAGCCTCCAGGGTCCGGGGGTTTTTTGTCTCAGAAGCACTTGGACCCACTTTTTCTGCACTTGACCTTACCCTGTACCTTCAGAGACCTCCTGTGGCCAAGGGACATGAGTGTCCTTGCATTATCACAGTTGCCTGGTCAAGTGAGATTCTCTTGTCCCTGATACTCCTGTAGGGGGCTCTTGACCTGACTGACCCAGATGTGGGCATGCTTAACATCTTTGTTCAATAATACAGATATTGAACCAACTCTGTTCAGGGGATCAAAAGGAAGGGAAAGGACCCTGAAGTCAATATTATCCTCAACTGTCCCTTCTCCCTGCCACTCTGTGGCCAGCACATTTCATACTGGCCTCTTCTAGTGGCTGAGACACCCTATTTGGCATTTGTCACTACTGGCTGGTGTGATGGGTACAGAGTGCCACACAGGGGCACCAGTCAGATACGTCTGTGGGCGTCTTGGCTCTCCTGTCATGTGGATGTTACTGTTGCGCGCGTCTGTAATTACGAGGTTTTATTCCTATTTAATGTTTTTGACTATAGCAGATTTTCGAAATCCAGTGTTTTTCCATTTGACCTTCTTCCCTTGCATCCTACTACTTGTCCTGCAACCCCCTATCCCCATTAAGAAAAGAACCAGCATTGTAAAGCTGTGGATACCATCAGGGAAGCTTGTTGTAACGGCTGTTAAGGCCAGTAACCATTGTTGTGGTTGTGTTTTGTATTGCTTGATACCATGAAAGTGTAAATACTGTTATAATGCCTAATCTATTTATCAAAACTGACTACTGGACCAGAGCCCAGAAAACATGGGTCAAGTTACACGTGAATTTGTTTTGTGAAGAAGGGAAGTTGGGACAGGTAACAAACAGAACCCCCATATTGAACGGTCCATCATCCTGATAAATTCATTCTTCTGTTGCAAGTCATTTTTGGCAGTCGTGGCTTAAGGAGACTTGAAGGGTTGTCATAGTACTTGTCCACTGGATCTTGATTTTACAGAAGGGAAGGTTAGATTCCTTAGCCAGATATTGCCTTATTTATGTTGTTGCAGAAGACCGTGAGAAAAGAACCTAGCAGGCTCCCTCTGTTAAGAGTTCTATTTTATAACACTAAATTCTTTCTGACAAAATGACTTCTGTTGGATTCAGTTTGAAGTTTTTCAGCCAAAGGAAAAGCCTGAGACATGAAGTAGTGACCTTGGTTCATGAGATTSTGCCTCTCACGTGGTCATTGACCTGGCTGAGCTTTGGGTGGYAGTGGGTGTTCCTGTTTCCCATAGTACAGTGTGGTTCTTGGTGGCCTGGTGTCCACAAGGTGCATTTCTGTGCCCTCAGCCCCCAGGCTGACTTGATTTCACCACATTATGAGGTCTTTGGTTGCCACTATAGCCCTCTTGACTCTGGAAGTTTTGGGCTTCAAGAACACCTCAGAGCCACTGCCTTGTTTTGCCAAAATCTTACTGCAGATTGAGTAAAGATCTTAGATTCTAAACTGCATTTAATTTTTGTATTTAAAAAAAARTGTTTATTCAGTGCATATTTACTTTAGAAGCACACTGGTTAATGGTTCCCATCACTCTTACCTTGGTAAGCCCCYGAGCCGGACGGCTCTCCTGCACTACGTTTCCCTAATATTCCTGTTTTTCTCAATATCGCCCAACTTCTCTGCTTTGAAAAATGGGGAGAACTGCTAAATATGTCATTTTCAGAATCCTAGCTCTCTAAGGTAAGTCGCAGCAGCATATGTCCAAGGAAAGCCATCAGAACCATTGATGATTCACACACATTTCCCTTCAGCTTGACTGGGCACTAGGCATCTCCCCTCCTGGTGAGTTCCACTCGGGGTGTGGACCTCTGAACACCTCATTGGGCCAGATTATATTGTGATGCTTCAACTCTGTTGGTCTGGGGGGGAAGGTCCTCAGCAAGCATCCACATGCCCACACTTGCCATGGGAGACAGTTTCCACCCTCCTTCTTCCATTGAGGCCAGCTCTGATGTTCTAAGGAAGGAGAGAGGCAACAGGTGGTGGGAGAAAAAAAGAGTAGCTAGATCAGATGCCCCCAGTGAGTCTGGTAGTTTCTGCACAGCCTTGAGTGATTGGAGTTCCTTCATCACTAGTAAATCTTGCACATAGAATGCGTAAGTATGCAAACCATTTTAGGAAGTAGTCCTCCTGCTAGCAAATGTGTCACAGAATGAAAGTCTGTAATTGAAAGGAATAGGGATATATTTTTCTGCTTGAAACCCTGCCATACCTGAAGGGGAGTTTTTGAATACAGTGGTCACCTATGTTCTGTGCCTGGTATCCTTCTCGTGCACATTTGTTGGCCTGCATCGTGGGGCTGTGCACTGCTGTGCTTCATTTTGCCAATAGAATGTTAACGGAGTATTTTAGATGTGCATGTTCTTGTAGGGCGTTCAGTCTCTTAACTTTGCAGTGACCACCTGTCCACCATTTTCACCTGCCTGGGTCCCTGAAGGAAGGCATTTGTGTTGGCCATGGAAGATAGAAATAGCATTTAACAGATAGGAGATGCTGACAGATTCACAAATGGGGAGACCCCTCCACAGGTCCAGAAAATACTGGGGAATGGCTCCAGTCTTTGTGATTTCATTCTCATTAGGGAGTTAAACTTAGATTCATGGATACATTTGTTTTCAGAATCTTCCTTTTTCCAGTGTTAACTTTTAGTTTCTTGGGATTGATTAAGGCAAGAGAAGTGGCTTTACCAGACCAGCTAAAATGAAGCATCKCGGGTCCCGATGGTTTCCTATTTTCATGGTAACAAATTCACATGCAAAATTTGCTTTATACTGTAGAATACTGACTTTCACGACAACTTGGTTTATGCATGAATCTCGCAGTATTTCCATATAGTAAAGTAACATTTCTGCCCAGGATAATAGTCACAGTTTTCCAGGGAGGGAATGATATAATTTTCATGACAATGTCATGTGCTGATAGAATTTCTCCATTGATGAATCTCTAGTATTGTGTGTATACTTTATTTACCCGTATGTATATTTTATGACCATGAGCTAAGTTGTRATTTCTTTCATTCACATCCCTGCTGAGATATTGATAACTAGCAACTTAGTTTTAAAGTTGGCAAGTCCAATCTTCAGTAATACCAGTGCCACAAGAACAGACAGGCCAGACAGAAGGTGAATAAGGAGCAGTGGCAGAAGCCTCATTCCATCTGGCCGGAGGAGAGTTGGTATCGGCAGGTGGTTGTGCTTGGGCTGTACACTTGGCTGCAGGCCTGGGGTGGCCTGGGATGGGTCGGCGTGAGGGCCTACTGTGCACACCCAGCCACACCCAGGCAGCTCCCATGCCTGAGTGTTCACACAACTCCCATCTCCAGGAAACTGACCCTTGGCTTCAGAGAAGAAGCTGGGGTTTCACATGCTGCATGTTGTCCTCTGTCCCCTGTGATCTGGACACAGAGAATAGGACATCTCCCACCCTCTCCTCCTCCTACAGTCAGAACCCGAGTAGTGCAAGAAGGCTGCCCGTGTCGCCAGTTTTCAGCTTCCACCCCTGGGTCCCCGCAGCCCCCACAGCCCGGCAGTGCTGGCCTCCGTCAGCAGCCTCGCAGACATTCCCGTCCCTTCAGGTTGCTGTTGACTGTGCCTCTTCATCACTCTGACATCCAGCGTCCGTAGAATTGCTGTATGTAGTTCCAGGCACTTTGGACACCCTTACCAGCATTGCCACCCAACTGACAGTTCAGACAAACACCCTTTTCTGTTCGTTCCTAACAACCTTTGTTTGACACATTAATAAATTTCTGACTGTTCTTAAAACAGTGGAGATGCCTCTATTTTCCTTGAGTTTTTGTGACTGACTTTGCCTATATACCTTTCTGGGATTTTGTTTGTTTTTTTATTTTGCATACCGAGGGTATTTGGGGTGGGGTTGTTTTTTGAGATGTGTAATTCTTTTATGGAGTTTTTAAAAAAGAATTTTCATATTGTTTTTTCTAACATGGCTTCATTAAACGTTTAAGTATTTTAAAAATATGTAATATTTGGACCAGATGTTGTGAATAATAGTAGAGATAAAGCTATTTTATTCTGTATTTTTAAAACTGTTCCGTACAAATAAAAGCTCTCCTGGATGCCGTTTTGCTGTTTGCATGCCTCCTCCTTTGGCCAGTGTTTAAGAAAATTGTAATTTGTTAAAAGCCATCACCGAGGCAAGAAAAATCAGCTTATAAGAAATTCAGTKTAGCCAGGCGTGGTGCCAAACACTTATAATCCCAGCTACTTGGGGCTGAAGCAGGAGGACCACCGGTTCAAGGCCAGCCTTGGCCACTTAGCAAGACAGGCTCAAAAGACAGGCTGGAGATGTGCTAAGGGGTAGAGTGCCCCTGGGTTCCATCTCCAGTACCTCCCCACCAAAAATCTTATCATTTTTTTCTCTATTGGTTTCCTTCTGCAATTCTGACTTTAACATTTATACTGCATCTCTTAGATCTGTTTTATATACTGTCACTCATTTTCTCTTTCCATTTCCTCAAAAGAGTCTGGAAGAATTTCCAGAGCAATTATCTGAATCACCAACTGGGGTTTATAGAATTCCAATCTCTTTTTTTTTTTAATTTTTAAAATATATGTATTTTTTAGTTGTAGTTGGACACAATAACTTTTTTATTTATTTATATGTGGTGCTGAGGATTGAACCCAGCGCCTCGCACATGCTAGGCGAGAGCGCTACTGCTGAGCCACAACCCCACCCC